TTTGTCCTGAGCCAACATAGACATCTTTCTGCATTAGGTTAAGGTTGCAACTCTGATTGCCCTCCGCATTATTTTTAAAGGCAGCACAATTGTTTAAAAAAAAAATCCAAAATGGTGCTCAGAATGGCCATTGTGAAACCTTTTTGGCTCTCCATAGTTATTATATGGCACCCACAGGATCACAATCAGATTGTTTAATTTTGATCCTTTGGGTGCTTTGTAGCCACTCTGGATGCCTGAGGTGCAGTCTGTGGGTTGCAGGTGGACCTCCAAAAGTTGCCCACCCTTCTTTTGCTCCATGCATTCAATAGCATATGACAGACTTCCAAAGTGTGTTACTGTGTTTTATCTTGATATTCTACAGGTGTTTTTAGCTGATTCAAACATTTTGTATGTTTTAATCGCTGCTCTAGGACTGTTCTCCAGTCTGAAGACAGTAACTGGCAAAATGACACAGGAGACTGAATCAGGAATCTCATGAAAATCGCTTAACAGTTACATAATTCAGGAAGCACATAGCTAATGATTCATTGCCACAGGCAAAAAAATGTTCTTCAGAGATGGTACCTCGAACAGCTGTAGCTTTATCAGAAACCCATAAAAATCTGGGTTCCCGATTGTAATCTCTGGAGCTCAGTATCCAGGATGCCAGATGCCATCCATCTCAGGCAACCCAATAGCAGGGTTCAAGGCAAGGACCTGAACTATTGGTTGCACACTGTGTGGGGTATGAATGCAGGTGTAACAAATCTAAGAAACAGCATTTATTCAATAGCAAGTTCATGGAAATTTCCACACCTAGTGTCTTTTTCTGACAAAGGCTTCTAATACATTTAATGAATCATCCTCCTCTGAAATTCGGAGGCCATCTTTTTCCTGGGGTCTCTTTTTCTGCTCTTCTTGAGGGAAGAAGACTGTGACAAATCTACCACAATGTCCAAGGGGTTAGGGCAATTCCGTATGAGAAAAGGTTATGTTGGCTAGGACAAGTAGTTTTGAAAGATGATGAGTAAAAGGAGGCGGAGGAGAGTGTGCCAAATTAGGCATGGTGTGGAGAAAGTGACAGGGAGACATTGCTCTCCCTTTCTCATAGTAGTAGAAGCTGGGATCATTCCATGAAGCAGATTGGTGGGAGATTCGGGACAGAGAAAAGGAAATCCTTATTCATGTGGTGCGTAGTAAAACTATGGAATTTACTTCCTCAAACTGTAGTGGCAGTCATCACTGTAGATGGCTTTTAAAAGGGATTTGACAAATTTGTGGAGGACAGGATTAGCAATGGCTACTAGTCCTGATGGCTCCATGATATTTATTTATGTATTAAAAGCTTTTCTATCCCATCTCCTACAGAACATCTCTGGACGGCTTACAATAAATAAGTGGAATAAAATAAACCCCCTAGCATCCAACCATTAATATACTAAAACCCCAATTAAAATCAATTAAACATTAAAATAGTGGGAAAATAAAAAGTGTTTTGCCTGACACTGAAAAGAATATAACATCAGCTCCAGGTGAACCTCTCTGGGGGGTGTATTCCATAGTCAGGGCACCACCACAGAGAAGGCCCTCCAGGTACTCTCCCTCCTAATCTCCTTCAAGAAGGGCTCCCAGAGCAGGACTTCTGCCTCAGATCTCAAGGGGTGGGAGGGCACATAGGGAAGAAGGTGCTCCTTCAGGTATCCCGGACCCAAGCCATATAGGGCTTTATCTCCAGTAGCAGGGACAATATGCTTATATGCACCAGTTGCTGGGAACGTGGGCAGGAGGTGCTGTGGAGCCCATGTCTTGCTTGCGGATTTCCCATGGGCAGCTGGTAGACTGCTGTGTGAACAGAATTCTGGATTAGTTGGAGCCTTGTTCTGATCCAGCAGGGCTGCTCTTATGTGCTCAGGCTGGTTATGCTCGTCCTAGTTTGTTCAGATTGTGCTGTGGAATGTTCTTTTCCAACTATTCAGCAGTTCATGAATGCTGAAAATCTGTTCTAGGCACTGTGCACGAAAATGGGGTGTAGCCAGGATGTGACATGCACTTGGCGTCTCAATGCTCGGACAGCACATCCTTAGTCTTCCTTTTTTCCTGCCGCCCCTCTTAAAAAGAAACGTAAGGAAACGTGAGGCTGGTGCAGCTTTGCCAAATAGTTATCTGAGCCTGCTCTTTCCAGCCTTCAGCATCGGGAAGTACTACAATTCTGCCGTGTAGTGAGTAGACTGTATAATCATTCCTGGACTGTCTTAGAACTGAATTGTATCATCTAAAAGACCCCAGGGAATGGACTCCATCCTCTGTTTCCTTTCAGATATTTAAGCTGAGCTGATGCATTTAGCTTCTAGAAAAAATCAGTGTTAGCTGGCTGGTCTTGGCTTGGAAACGGGCGAAGTGTGGTGGAGGTAATGGGAAATGGCAAACATATTGTTCCAGATGCCTGGGCGCTGAATTGTGCTCATCAGCAGTTTTGCTGTTCCAACATTAATCTGTGAAATATGACTAGTTCCAGGCCTATGGAGTTGTGTGGGGTGTGTTCATTGGAGAAAAATTCTGGTCAGGAATGCCAAAGCAAGCAATGCAGTGAGCAACAGATTTTTTCGAATGACCCAGTAATAGGGGGCATTCTGGCACACAGAACTTTTAAAAACCTAGGTAACCCTAGTATGGCCTGGGCCCAGCTTGACTGAACATCAGAACCTGTGAGGCTTTGTGGTGGATCAGACCAAGAGCTATCTTGTGTGGCGTTCCATTCGCCCAATAGCTAGCCAGCTACCCCTGGAGAGCCCAAAAGTGGGGTGTGCAATATAGAACAATATAGAGTTATTTATTTATTTACATGTATTTATAGGCTGCCTATAAGTGCTGAGGCCTTCCTAGGCGGCTTACAATGCATAAAACATATTAACAGAGTAAAAACACATTAAAAGCCAATTAAAACATAATGAATTAAACATCTATAAAAACAAAAAGGGCCACAGCATGCTGGCTAAATGTTAAAAAATTTCCTGAAAAGATATGTCTTTGCCTGGTGCTGAAAGGCAAATAGAGATGGTGCCAGGTGAATTTCCCTACGGAGGGAGTTCCAGAGAAGGGGAGCAGCAGTGGGAAAAGGCCTTTGCCTAGTTGCCGCCCCTCTCATCTCCCTGGGGGTGGTTCTCATAGAAGGGCCTCCTAGCTGATCTAGGGGGGGGGGGGTAGGTATATATGGGTGCAGTTATTGTGGCTGAATATCCAAGGATACCTTCTTGGTGACTTGTCTTAGCTGCTTTGAAAGCTGCCCAATTTGGTGGGTGTAGCTGTACCTGGCTTCTTGACCTTTGGTTAAGATAAAATGTGCTATAGCTTGTGGTACCCAATTCCATAGTTTAACTTTCTACTATGTAAATATCTTCCTTTCATCTGTCCTGAATCTTCTGCTATTGAGCTTCATAACACACAGAAAGGAGATAAAACTTCCCCTGACTGTTGAATGCTGGAAGATTGGAGAAGATTGTAGAGATGGAGGCTGTTGAAGGCTTCCTCTGTCTCGGGGAATATCAGGAAATATTTCCTTCTGAGCAGAAGAGCTGAAGGGGCATTGGATGCCTCTGCTGGTAGGTATGTCCTACGGAGCAAATATTATTTATTTCACCATTTAGATACAATGAGGGAAACCATTCTTTTTTTAGCACAGGGATTAATATGAGTGGTGATAAAAGCAAGCTATAAAACAGCCCTGAGTTGGTTACTATGCACTGCTGTCCATTCTCTTTAGCGGATGTGCCCATTGTTGCAAACCTACAGAGAGGCTGCTGTGTAGCTTGAATAAACAGCCTTTTTAAAGCTGTCCAAATCTAGCCAGAGCAGCAGTGTGTATATAGCTTAGAAGCCTTTGTCTGTATCATATTAATGTTGTTCTTTTTTCTCTCCGGTTTTAAAAATGCAAAGAAGATTAATCTGTGCAAGGTGGCTGCTCTTAAACCTACTGATGGTTTTTGTTATATTTGTTGCATGAGGCTTAGAATCGGCCATCTCCCTTGGGACTGGGGTTAAGAGGCTACCCTGGCCTCTAAGTACAATTGCCCAGGTACCTGCATATTCATAAAGCCTTTTTTTCTTTGCAACTCATTTATGCAGAAACATACTCCACAGCTTAAGCCTTGTTTGTAGTTAAATTAGTGCTGGAGACAGGCTTTAAGTGGTCACCCCATCTCTTGCAAGCTCTTGTAATTACATTAATGATTATACCATGGTTCACAGCTCTGCTGTTGACAACTCATGGATGGAAAAATCAGGTGACTGGGCTAACATAAAAGATGTAAATGAAAATATATACCAGTTTGGCATTCTGCTTTTAAATTCTTACGACAGAGCTTTGATAACTGAAATGCCCCTTACACTGGAGGGGGGCTGGTGAGGCTGCATCAATAAGTAATAGCCCAGGCAGCACCTCTGTGTAGAAAAGGTTGCAGTTGATGCCGCTCATAGGCACATGTGGTAGGATTGCTACTAGGAGACGGAAAGCTGGTCTAAGGTCTTCTGTGTTGTATCTCCTCAAATCGTATACAAAGACATGGTTGTGTGGATGTATGTAATAGCATGGGAAATTGAAACCTGGATTCATGGCTAAGAGATGGTTGGGCTGAATGTGGCAGCTACTGCTATTAGGGAAAATAACAAGTGTAGGCTCCTTTGGTCATTCACCCATAGGAATGGCCAAAGATACATATATAGAGTGATGGCTTCCCTTCCTCTCCTTTGTAAACTGTAGGATCCACAATTTCAGTCTATTAAAGTCCGAGAAGTATCACATGACTTGCATATGTTACACTCATTTTTAAAAAATTGTCTGTTATGGTATTATGTCTGGGAAGTACAATAAAATACATTTTAAAGGAGTCAACTACATTTCTCAGCTTGCACGGGAAATATCAAATGGAAAGTAATTAAATGCTGTGTGATGTCAGCAGCTGTGTGTATCAACCCGCATGCAGAACTGGTGCTTTTATTCTTCTTGCCTGCCCCCCTCCCCACATGAGGCATCTCTGGTAAGGCTGCAATGAGCGGAATGCCCTCTTTGGTTGTATTGCCCCGGTTTCCTGCCCAGTATGAATCATGCTAAGCTCTTTTCTCAGCTGAGACAGAATACAGAGAAGCTTGTTGGAATTCAGGTGCTGTAGCTTTCTTCTAGCAAAGTAGGTCGGGAAGATGCATCTGCCTGTCAGGAAAGCTGGCAGTGTGTTTGTGGGGAGAGGTGGAGATTTGATGAAGGTTAGAGCACATCCAAAGCAACCCCTGACCATTTGTTTGGGGAAGTTGAAGCTACTTTGAATGTCAATTGCTAGGGTCAGCGGATGAGGGTTGCACATGGGTTGGGGTTGTGGCTCACAGCTTCTGGTCACTGGGAAGCTGTTTCATGCTGTAGTTTCTCTTTTACTTTCAGCTTTTCCCTGCTGCCACCTCTTCTTCCTCTGCTTTGCTTCCTATTGGAGAGTCCTAGGTGGATGAAGCGGCAGCCACACCGAATGGGATAAAGGCAGTGACATGGACTGCCATCAAACAGCTGGGACAATAGCAGGAGCTGTTCATAGATGAGGTAAAATAAGGAAAGCTGCAGACAGGAGAGTATTTGTTGTGGTTGGACCTCAATGATCATTCAACACTTTACCCGTTTTCCGTTGGGTGCCAGGTTAAGACTTTCCTCCTTTCCAAGGCACTTGAAAACATAAAATAAATTTTAACCAAGCCTAAGGTTTTCTATTTATGGGTTTTAACTTTAGATTTATAAATTTATATTCTGTTCTATATTTTTGTGGTAGCTCTGATTATTGGGCAGCACAGGGAAGTAATAATAATTGGAAGTATCTTCTGAGATTAACTGAATAGTTTAAGTGCAGGAATTTGAAGAGGATTATTGGAGGGAATCTGTCAGACAACCTTTTTGGAACTATCCTGTTTCAGAATAAATTCATGGTTAAAAGGAGCAGTAGGTAAGAATTCACAGAAACACAGAGTTGGAAGGGGCCAATCAGGCCATCAAAGCGAAGCCTCTGCTTAGTGTAGGAATCTAGTTTAAAGCATCCCCAACAGATGGTTGTCAGTCTCTCCTTGTGTATCTCCAGCATTACCTCCCTAGGCAGTTCTCTATTGTCTGAGTGCCTTGACTATTAGGAAGTTTTTCCTGATGTTCAGCCAAACTTTTCCTTCCTGTAACTTAAGCCTGTTATTTTGTGTCCTGCTGTCTTGGATGACTGAGAGCAAGTTATGTCCCTTTTCTGTAGGACAACCTTTTAGGTACTTCAAAGATCCTGCCTTTGGTAGTTTCTTCAAAAGCTTGAACATACCCGCTTCTTTCCAGTGTTCCTTGTAGGATTTAGTTCCTAGTCCTGAGCTCATCTGTGTTGCTCTTCCCTGAAATAATTCTAATTTATCTGAACTTTCCTTAAAGTGTAGTGTTCAAAGCTGAACACAGTATGTAAGGTGACATTGGACCAGCACAGAGTAGAGTGGAACTATTATTTTCAGAAATCATGGGAAATAATAGTCCCACTCTATTTTTCTGCATTTAAAACAGTGAGAAGTCCTGTAGGGCCAATGTAGCTTTAATTCTGCTACAAGAGACTACCTCAAAAAGGCAAATTCCATGTTAGGCAGATTTATCTTCAATTCCTTTCCTAATTATGCCTATCTCGTGTTGCCCTTACACAAATTTTTGGTGCAACCACACTTGGAATATTGTGTATAAATTTGGTCTGCACACGTAAAAGAGGACATTGTACAGAATGCAGAAAAGAGCAGCCCAGATGATCAAGGGACTGGAGCAGCTGCCCCATGAAGTAAGGTGAGAACATCTGGGGACTGCTTGGATTAGAAAAGGGAGCAACAGGAGACATGGTAGAAGTGTACAAAATTATTCATGGTATGAGGAAAGTGGAGAAGGAGGCATTGTTCTCATGATGTTAGAACCTGGGGTCGTCCCATAAAAGCTGATGAGTGGGAAATTCCAGACAAATAAGGAAACACTTCTTCACACAGAGCATAGTTAAGCTATGGAATTCCCTTCCGCAAGATGCAGTGGTGACCATCAATGTGAATGACTTTTCGTATGTTTCTGAGAGTGGCCGTCTTTCAGGCTGTCCTATATTAGGTGCATATACAAGAATATATAAGAAAACTTTATATCCTGCTTTGCAACAGCAGGGGGTTGGACCTAATGGCCTTCATGGCCCCTTCCAACTCTACTGTTCTATAATTGTATGATTAATCTGGAGTAAACACCATTCCCTGTTCTTCAATCATGAGTATGCCTGTGAACGCATGAAGCTTGCCTTATGCTAGGTTGGGCAGGTTGTCCATGTACACAGTGTGGACAGCTGACCAGCAGCAGGCCTTTTAAGAACAAATGCAAGGTTCTTTCTCAGCCATTCTTCCTAGGATAGTGTGCTTGAGCCTGGCTGTTTCTAGGGGCAAAAAAGCATGCTCTGCCACAAAGCTATGGCCTTTCCACAGTCAATGCTCCTTTCTTGGCATGGAACAGCTCCTCGAGTAGACAATTGCACTCTGAGCTTCTTTTGGGACAGAGTTACTGTGATCTACAGCAAATTTCATTTTCAGATGCTGGGTGGTTCAAACCATGAGCTTTGCAGGTTGGGCTGCTGGTCAAAGGAAGGAGCTAGAGGCAGTTCGGGCTAGAATACTGTCCCTCCAATCAGGAACATAGTGATGCTAAAGTGCCAATTCCACAGCAGTATAAACTTCCTTGCCGTGCTGCATGCATCCATGGTGAGCAGCTCATCACTCACAGAGGCCTTTGTCTGTGTTTCCTGTTCCACCTAGCCCTTGGGTCCAAATAATGTACGCTTGTTGGGGTGACCTGGATGTACAGAAACCTCTTAAGTTTTCCAGAGATTGATCTCTTTATGCATGGCTCTGTGTACATGCACAACGATCCATCAGTCTTCTCTTTCTCATGAAGGGGAAAAGCCTGTTGGATGCTTTCCAGAGTTTATGCTAATGAAAACAGGCACACTATTATCTCTGAGAAGATAATAGTACTGAGCAGCCATGTGATTGATTTATAAACTTGGACTGCCTTGATTTTTGCTGCTGTTACATTGTGTAGCTGCAGATGCACCAGAGAGCATCCTCCTGCATGAGAAGGAGCCTTCATGAAGGAGTTAGCTCAACATTCCCAAACGAGTGCCCTCCAGATGTTTTAGATTATGACTCTCAGAATTCAAAACCGGCGGCCATGCTGGCTGCGGCTGATGGGAGTGGAAGTTCAAAACATCTGGAAGGCTGAGTTAGCAAAATGCTTCACAGCTTGGTTTTCAAGCTGGCAGGAAACATCCTTCTACTTTAACAAATATGTATTGGTTCAAACATTTCTAGTAGTAATTTCAGCACATTTAAAATCTGACCCTAATCAAGTATCAGCATTTCCTCTTGTCTCTCGCTGATGCCCGTGACCATCTAACATTAGATTCTAATGCTTCCTCCTTTTTGGGACTAGACCCTGAGATGGACTTCAATGTTAAGCTTGTTCCTTGAATGTAGACAGGTACGGTTGAAGAGCTTTATGAGGTCAGGCAGAGCTCAGTCACGGTTATTAAAATATTCTGTCTGCAGAGAAGAATGTTAACATTGGCTCATCTGATGATGAAGCCCTGTGTGTCTGCCCCAGCCGGCGGTGCAACTGGGTCACTCTAGAATCTAGACAGGGTGGCCCTACCATCTTCTCCCCTCCCTTCTTTAGATGGGAATGTGAATTACTTCACCTATGCCAAAGTGTGGCACACCAGCTTTGATTGTGAGCCATCCCGAGATGCCATGCATAAGGGATGGCATATAAAAGTTTTAAATAAAACAAACAAACAAACTTCCTCTGTGTTCTGGGCCCCTCCTGCTTACTTTGTTGAATGGGGTCCTGGTCTTCTGCCCCGAAGTCTTACCCTGATGCCACCATGTTGGTAGAATTACCTGAGGGATATCGGACCCTCAAACACCCCCTGCTGCCTGGGTATTTGAGGCATGACACAGCAAGCTTGGCACCCGGAGGCACCAGTATGACACAAAAGCTTACATGGGCAAATTAATCCCCAGTGGGATGTCGGCACATGTGGACAGGGTGGCTGTTTGTTAAAAAAGTGTTGGTTTTTCTCTTGTGTCCTCAGGGCAGCAGGTTGGGTTAGACTGATATACAGAATACTTTTGGTACCTCTGGACTAGAAGAACTGAAGCAGAAAGATTTAAAAAATTGCTCAGGGTCAAGTGAGACATCTTATCACAGCAGGAAATTTATTCTGGGTCTCCCGAGTGCCAGGCTTATGATAATCAGGGCCTTTTTTGTCCTCCTTTACAGACGCGCACACACACACCACTAAAAATCTATGCATAATCCACCTTGTTGATGCTGTTTATAATTCATACTTCAGGGCTCAGTCTGAAGTTGGTAAATTGAGTATCCTTTTTTCACTCTTTTTGTGGTGGCTTAGTGATGCATTTCCTTTACATTTTCTGTATGAATACTTTGTCATTTGTTATGCTATTTGAATAGGGGTGGATGGGGGCGATGCATTACAGTCAGAATTTATCATTACAATAATTCTATTAATCCCATTTTGCAGAAAGGGAAACTGAAGCGCATGGCTACTCCAGTTCAGAGCTCCCAGATCCAAATGCAATGCTCAGTCTGCAGGGCAAGACTAATGCTAACACATTTTCCCCCACGCTAGAGTTAATCAAGATACTGCTGAACAGCGTTTTGAGAGGGATTGTTTAACTTGGAACTCTTCGTTGAGCATGGGGTTGGACCCGATGGCCTTCTTGACCCCCATCTGTTCTATAATTCTATGCTACCATGAATACTTACCTTTAAAAAAATTATTTCTCTTGAGTCTTCATGCACTCTCTCTCTGTCTCTTCCTCACACCTCTCTCCTTCATGCCCTTTCTCTCTCCTCATCCTTCCTTGTTCTTCCCCCTTCTTCTCCTATGGGCAAATAAACCGTAAGCTTTATTTGGGGAAGGATAAGGAATAATGCACATTTTTATTCCTTTTTAAGACCTCCAGGAAAAATTAGCATTTACCCTTTACTGTGCAACCTGTGATGCTATTTCTTGTGAGCAGCTCCTGGGAAGCAGAATCTTTTTTGTGTATGTGTATTTGTTTTTTTGTGGTACAGGATATAAACACTCTTGTTCCTTGAGGCATTAATCTTCTTTATCGTTACCTCGAATTCTAATGCGAGCTCTTGCGGGCTATTGGATTAAGTCAGTTTCTCCCCTGAAATGTCAGATAGGCTTAAACCATGGCTTTCCTTCAAAGATAAATTTCCCTTTAACTATGTGGCAGAAACTCCCAGTTCATTGCCTTGTGCCAGGGGAGGCGGCTGTGGGTTGGAATTGTTGCCTTTATGAGGTCAGGTAAAGGTTGGTTTTGCCTTGCCAGCGAGACAGGTCCCTGCTGTGGAGAAGGATTGCAGGAGTGGAGATTAAATAGGAAAGGTTTAAAAGTGAATTTCTTTTTGCTCTGTAGCTGATGCCCGTAATGAAACCATAGCTGAGAGGGTCAAAGCAGCCCAAAGAGTGATCTGAT